CCCCTCTTCCCCCCCCCCCCCCCCCCGTCTAACGTTTGGCAGCCTGGAGTGTTAATGGAGCATTTATGCAATGAAGGATTTGCAATTAACAATATAGCATTGGGGCCTAACATTTAAAATTCCAATTATAAACTGTGATTAAACAGAAATGACTTGATTATTCAAATTAAAATGACGTATACAAGTGAAAAATATAAGATTCCACATTTTTTCTCAGTAAACCAACACCAGCCATTAGTTTTGAAGATAAGCATTTTTATTATCCCCTATTCGAATCTGAATTTTGTATTTATAGTAATATCATTTCGATACATTTTGGTCAAGCGTCTCGATATATTTTGTAACAAATTTTATCAAGCTGCAAATTATTTTAATTTTCCATCGTGAATTACGACATCTTATTTAAATATCATTATATATTTTGGAAAGCGCTAAAATAGTTTGGAATATTTTTGATTACTTAAGTTTACGAATGCAGGAAAAGTAAAGGGCTGAGCATAATTTAGTTCATTTTAGCTCCTATGTGATAGGGTGAATTTGAAAATTTGTACATTTATGAGATGTGTGTGGATTTCGCAACTACCCTCAAACCCGACCGAAATAAGTTCGAGGGCTGAAAATTCTAGAAAGGGTGGTAGTGTATGCCGCTGACTTCTAGTCAATCACCCATTAATTCCATTGAAAATAACCCTAAAGGTATGAAATTAATGGGCTTGATTGCATATGACCGTTATTTCTAATAAAAGGAGAGTTTACTAAACTCGCATTTTTGCCCTAGATGATGTTAATGTTTATTAGCTAATTTTGGGAACAATTCGGGGATGAAGATTTTGTCAAGGAAGATTGCTGAAGTTTACCCAAGGTTTAGCAATATAGTATTCGATGCAGATAAGGTTTTTTTGCTTTACTTAAGCAGAAATGCACGCTCATTTAGAGTTATTTGAATTCATTTATTGCATTTTATAATATTCCTTAAGCATATAAAGAAGGAGACAAAGTGTGCCAGAAATAAATTCGATAGCAACAAATAGTCGCACTTGAACGTAAAAAATTTTACAGATATCTGTGGGACACTCCATCAATGACCAAATAGAAATCCTGCTATAGAATATAACTCAGAAATAGTTAGCTCTTAATGTTCACACGAATCATGCTGGAGTTATCTCATAACTAATCGCTTTGCCAACATTACACACTTCGCTATCAATATACGTACCGAATAAACGTATACCGTGCTACACGTCTGTTTCCCTTATAGCTAGGCTATAGCTTAGCTTGTTCTGGGAGTCTAGTTAGATGTTGGAGAATCTTGCCATCGAGATTTCTGAGTCAGTCAGGCTTTACTAAGGTGTTTAGCTTGTTCTGGGAGTCTAGTTAGATGTTGGAGAATCTACCATAGGGATATCTGAGTCAGTCAGACTTTAATAAGGTAGCAATCCCCTCCATATCAATTAACCCCGACCAATTTAGAACTTTGCTGCATTTCATGCTAAGTAAATGCGTTTATCTCGAAATTCAAGTTCCACCTTTTATCAGTGTTTAGAGCAGTAAATCAATGATCTTTTATTAAATCCTTCTAAAAAGCCGCGCAATTTGAACAGTAATATTTTCTAATTAACAGGTTCGAAATAATCTTTCGCCATCGAAATACTATAGCTTTACAATGAGGCTATTCTTAACGAAAGCACATTTTTGTTTGTCTCAAATAAAAAGCCATGTATGGATGAAAATTATTGATGCATAGTTTTGTATCGTAGAAAAAATAAGAAGATTTTGTTTTATGAACGAACTGGGTGTGCTGACATGATGAAATTCCTGTTTATGCTTGGTAGAAATCGGCATCTTGCCGAAATTAAATTAAGAGAAATTGAGAATGTTTTCCTACAAAAATAATTCATGAATGTAAGAATCGTTTATGCAATCAAAGTTTCGATTACTGCATCCTACAGTGAAAGAAGTTCATGAAAATATCTAAAAAATATGATCAAGATGAGATACTTGAGATATTATAATGATCGAACAGTGCCTAATATTTTTTAATTGATAAAAGACGAATGAAACATATATATCGCTATTTATAAAATTATATGCTACATGTAAGGCACACCACCTACCACTTTGCGCCATAGATTAGGTATTTCCTGGAAAAGTCGAAGCCAGTGGCATGATATAAACAGAACAAATATTTTAAATGTGAATTTGATCGATATGATAATCGACGACTTGAGCAATAAGAATAATAAATGTTAAAAATTAGTAAAGTTTATTACATTATTTAGTCAAACACAATAAGGTAAATAAAAGAAAAAGTCATAAATACGACACTAGTTGGAATTAGTTAGCAGAATAAGAAGCAAGAAATGATTCCATCAGTTAAATAAAATTTGAAAAACTGGTTTCTCATCATTTATGAAAATTGAAGTAATGCTGAAATGTTTATTATGAAAAAATTTGCTTAATGGTGTTTACATCAAAATAAAAAATCGTGGACGAAAATATTATTATTGATTTTAACGACTTTGGCTAAGAATATCGGCAAAGTAACGAATTTTAACAGATTACATATTGTAAACAACACCATATTCTGCGTTTAAGTTATATAGCCACCGGCGCTCTCTTGAAATATCTCAAGCATGAGGACGTCTTCTAAAAAGGATAAAAAGACCCTAGGAATTAAATCTGGAGGAATTCGTTTTCAACGAGACAGAGGTCAGCACATACTAAAAAATCCACTTGTTGTCCAAAGTATCGTTGAAAAAGCTGGAATCAAACCCGTTGATACAGTTCTAGAAATTGGTCCTGGTACCGGTAATCTTACCATGAAATTGCTGGAGAAAGCCAGAAAAGTTTGTGCCTTTGAGCTTGATCCTAGAATGGTTGCTGAACTTCATAAACGTGTGCAAAACACGTAAGTCTATTATGCGTATTTTTTATGAGTTTATTAGCTACCATTTAATTAGCTTTTTTTGTGATTCCTTTATCCAAAACAGTCCGTTTAAAAATAAACTGGAAATTACAGTAGGTGACGTAATCAAGGCAAAGGAATGGCCAAAGTTTGATCTTTGCGTTGCTAATTTGCCTTATCAAATCTCTTCCCCTTTCATTGGTCGTCTTATCACCGTTCAAAATCACTTTCGTGCTGCTGTAGTCATGTTACAAAAAGAGTTTGCTGATCGTCTCTTAGCCCAACCCGGATCTAAAATCTACTGCCGTCTTTCTGTCAATGCCCAATTTCATTTCAAAATCTCCCAGCTTATCAAGGTATGATTTGTTCTAATAGAAATTATTATTTTTCCGCTTCGTTAATTTCCTTTCGAAATCTATTAGGTCAGTCGGAACAGTTTCAAGCCCCCACCCCGCGTCGATTCTACTGTGATCAGGATCGAGCCCCGTCATCCTAAACCTCCAGTCTCCTTTGCTGAATGGGATAGTCTGCTTCGACTAGTTTTCCAGAGAAAAAATAAAACCATCAGTTCCAACCTAAAAAGTGACGCAATAACGGCCTTCCTTCGCAAAAATTACTTGACCCTTCTGGAAAAACAGAGTGCCGGCTCTGGCCAGCCAGTCAACCCAAGTCCTCCAGAAATTACTGAAGAGGGTGAAATAGGAATCGCAGCTATGTCAGTCAAGATTAGAGAAATCCTTAAGACATCCGGTTTCGAATCCTCCAGAGCCAGGGCAATGGACGAAGACGATTTATTAAGATTACTTCTCGCCTTTCGAAAGGAAGGTATTCCTTTCGCTTAAAATTTGCTCTTTCACCGTTGTAAATAGAAAATCTGATTTATTTTGGCATTTAGTTTTTTTATATTTCTAGCAATTATAGTTCAAATAGTAAAAGAATGTACAGAAATTTTGGCTTTTCGGGAAAAGGATTGTGTGCAAATTGTTCATTCGGCAACTCTTGGTTTCTTGGGGCGGCTCCCTTTGGGCTAGAAATGAAATAGAGGTCATTTTTGTCGTCGCGTTCATAAAGTAATTCAAATCGAATAAGTTTGCGAAGTTACCCTATCGTTTACTGCGGAACCTCTTTTTCGAGCAGTAGGTGTAGCGAAAACTGATTTGGGATCGATTTTCTTGTTAATCGTTGGACGGCCACGGCTTTGCTGATTGCGACGCCTTTGAGCCAACCTAAAGGAAAGGGAAGTGAGCTTACAAGACCATTTTGAGAGCGTACTAGACCTGTGAGAATAAGATCTAAGTCCTTGTCATTTATGCCTAATTTTTGGTTTAATAACTTAGTTTGATTTATGAGATTGGCATAGTTAACTCACACAAACATCAATTCAATCGACCAATCATATTTGGAATGATGACAATATAACCTGTATTAAATTAATTCTGATTCTAGTTGGCTGAAGCATGCCAAGATATTAATCTTCCACGATGCTTTAACTGGCAATTCAACTCCTTTCTTTTACCGATGTAGGCAAAGATACCAAATTTTAATAAAATAAGTTGATTTGAGAACAATGCACCTGACGAGCAAGCATACTAAAGGACACTTTCAAATTGACACTTCCAGAAGCGGAACACATTTATGCACAAATGCCTTGAAATCCTAAGACCCTAACAAGATATTTCCTAAAGCTCGGTTGTAAAGAAGTCAAATGCACATAGACTAATTTCCATCTGGCAATGTTAGCAAAGATTGAGAGGGAGATGATTGAACACATTTTAGAACAATAAGAAAGCTAGATTCTGGTCATTCAACTTCCAGCTGACAAAGAATAACCTCGTCTAGACGGTAAAAAATTTCAAGTAGGCGCACACTCCTGAAATATTGCTGGTAATGGATATACATTAGCATAGTACAACAATAACAGCAAAGTCTGGTGTTTACTTGAGATTGAATTTTAGCCTAACAGACTGGAACTAACCTAAACTATCAACTATCTGTGCCAAATAAGCTCAAATGCCAGTAATTTACCTTTTGGCTAATTCCTCGTCATCCAATAATAGAGAAACCATTTCCGACTGAGTCATCTTGTTACCATCTCCAGCCGGACGAATAAAGGAATCTGTACCGTCTGCGGGCGCGTTTTTATTTGGATTGTCTCCAGCAATAACCATTCGTTGCATTGCTCTCTTCTCCTCCGCTCGCTGCAACATCCTGCCTTCCACTGTGTTCTTTGAGATCAATCGATAAACTGTAATCTAAAGTAAAACAATTTCTTGCTAATTATCAGTAACGATTACTATTAGTCTATGGTTTTGGTGCCAAACTAACCGGTTTAGATTGTCCAAGTCGATGTGCTCTATCCATAGCTTGTTGATCCACCGTGGGGTTCCAATCGGAATCGTAGAAAATGACAGTATCGGCAGCGGTGAGATTGATACCCAAACCACCCGCACGAGTAGAGAGAAGGAAAACAAACCAACGGGGGTCAGTTTGCCACTGTGCAACCATATCACGGCGATCGCAAAGACGAGATGAACCATCCAATCTCAGATAGGCATAACTCCTATACACCATCAGTTCCTAAACGAAAATGAATTTGTTTTAAACATGATACTTAAATGTAGCTACAGCAAGCAAAGTAGGAATACATACTTCTAGGAGGTCAATCATTTTCGTCATTTGCGAGTAGATAAGCACCCGGTGACCTTCAGGTTTAAGTTTGGCCAATAACCGATCAAGTTCCTTCAATTTGCCGGAGTCGGCGATTAGATAACCGGGTGAAACATGACTCCAGGATGGGGGGAGGGGGACAGAAAGGAGTTTCGGGTTCATGGAGGCTGATTCGTGGAGGATATGCGGTTGAGTACAAAAGAGCCGTAGGGGACGAACATAGGCCTGTTATGAAAGATAAGAACAGTCAACTTTAGCTCCACGTGTTCAGACCAGATGATAGAAACGCTTAAGCGGTGTAAAAATGATCTCACAAAAAATGGTTAACTGATACGGTAATATAAGGTAGTTAGTACTGTGTTTTTTATATATGTAAGTATTAAAAATGAGTCAATAAATAGAAATGAACTTAAAATGTGAACATATGCCCTTAGCATTTTCAGAGTACTCGAGTTCATTTCTGCTGGAAATCGTTTACAACAAAGTTGGAGAACAATTGAACTATAAATGCTATGGTCAGGGAGTTGAATTCCTTCCTAGTTTCAGGCGTACGCTTCATTATTCACAGCTCTAGTTCCTTTGAAACAAGATACAGGTGACTCCTGAAATTGTAAAAACTAAGAGATGGAGTGATTTCACCAACCCTATATTCACTTCTGCGGAGTGTTTGCATGGTTTATGGTAAAAACTTGGAAAACAAATTATCTTAGCGAGGCAATTGATCACATTTGGGACTCCATTATAGACTGGATTCAATTCCTGCCTAATCTTTTTGTTTGCATGCAATTATTGACCTCAACCAACTCATAGTACTCATGGCAGAGTAAATATTCAATAATAGCATCCAATGCTTAGAAAAAATAACCTACCGGTAACATAGAGACAGAATATACAGATTCTGGATATCTGACAGAAGTTTCCATTTTTCTTTCCTGGCCAGCCGATTGTTTCAACGGCAATATTCGGCATTCTCCTTCAATCTCAAATCCTTTTCCATCCTCCGTGATTTCGAATACTCGACTAGGAAGATCGGGAGGCTGGTAGGCTTCAATCAAGCCCTTCTTAAGTGGAGATTTATTCAGAAGAAAGTACTTGTAAATCACAACAGCCTTCTCATCAACACAAGCTCCAAGATCATAGGAGCTTGGAAGACATCTCCAAGTCTGTCCACATACGAGACCCTCATCAAAAAGGAGTTTGGGGATCCACCAGAACGAATTGCCTCCGGAGGACTCAAACGGTCGAACAGAGGTGCAAGAGAACCGGACATCTCGTCGATCAAAGAGTTCAGGATGATTGCAGACTTTACGCAACTGCATCACCAAGTTCATTAGACGGTTCGACTCAGGTTGGCCGCCATTATTGATGTTAAAGGTACTAAAGTTGTCGTCTGCATTTAGATCTTCGATACGGATTTTACTCTTTAAGCGATCGTAGAGCACAGTCTGGCGTCGTGTCAAAGGACAGTAGATAAGAACTTCGGTCTGTAAGAGGAAAAAAACTTTTAGTGCTTTAATGATTAAGAGTTAATTGAACCTGAAAAGAGAAGAACTGAAAAAATAAGATACCTTTAATAAACTGCAGGATAATCGAAAGAGTAAGATACATTTGTAGAAAAAAATGAAACTGACAAAACATTATAACTCACAATATCTAAGATCTGAACCTCTTCACATAATTCTGATCGTACATGAATGAGAATAAAAGATGATTAATGAAATGCGTTTCGCGCATCTGATTGCAATCGCTAGACACGACAATCTCGTACAGTCTCAATTCAAGCTCTTATCTTCCTTTTGTTCCATTTCACAGGATTGGTTGGTCGTCTATCCAAACATATTCTACCAAGTTCAATAACTACTTCGTCCTTCACTAAACCCTATCGGGACGAACCAAATACAAAACTAATAAACAGGGCCATAATTCAGTCAGTAAATATTTGGCTTTGCCTGTTTGTCGAACCAGCCCTGTACAGGAAATTGCATAGTACAGGGCATTTTAGCCAAGCTTTACAGCCAATCTTCTTACTTTTTTACAATTCCGTACGGTTTTTCACAATACCCGTGGTTACACCCAAACTCCACATTTCTCATTTAGAAAAGACTATTATCTTGAGTGGTTTTATGACGGTTTATAGTACGGTAAAAGGATATTTTGTTAAATTAACAGCGGTATTCTCATGAATTCTTCAAAGTATAAAACAGTAAAACTCATAACTTGACGAAACTTCTACTATAATAACTCAATATAGTAATTAAGGTCCACCAATGTATGTTGATTACAAAACATATAAAATTAAGTTACAACAATGAAAGCTATCTTCAATTGTCAAATAAAAAGTAGAAATAACGATCTGCGGAATACGATACCATAAAAGTGTGTGTGCGAAAGTGAGGCCGTGTACTTGAAAGATCGATAAGCAGAGCAATTTTTTCACTCAAAAACCTTCAAAATAAGTTCCAACAAGCCCATTGCTCTAAGGTAACTCCGAAAAAGAAGACATTTGGAATCTTATTTATTTTCACGTCTCCCTCCCCCCCCCCCCCCCCCCCCCTCCTCAGCTCTAACTGCCATACAATTTCTATCAAACTAACACAATTGATGCTAACTTCAAATGATGGTAACAAATAAATAAATTCATTAGTAGGCACGACTCACTTTTTCAGTAATTTCATGTTCCACTTCAGTTTTTACTCGCCTCAACATAAATGGTTTGAGGATTAACCGAAGTCTCGAGAGTTGATTCTCATCTAATTCAGTCACTGCTCCAGAAACACCGCCAGAAGAATCCGCTGCAGCCTAAAAGACAATGCACCAAAATCAAAATACTCTCCAACTACTATACTACTTAACACAGTTTATCAGTAATTATATTAGCAAACGTACTTGTGATTCGATATCCTTCGAGAACCAGTCAGCAAACTCATCATGTGAGTCAAATAAAGCAGGCATAATAAAATGCAGAAGAGCCCAAAGTTCACACATTCTATTCTGAATGGGAGTTCCTGTGAGAAGAAGTCTATTTCGGCATTTGAATGAAAGAAGATTCTTCCATCGAAGACTTGAAGTACTCTTGATAGCATGTGCTTCATCTAAAACAATATAAGTCCAGGCGGTTTTGTTGATGAATTTGGAGTCCTGCAGGACAAACTGATAGCTAGTGACAACAACGTGGAAAGCGGCGTCACGAGTGCCCAGAAGGCCACCGTTACCATAGCTACCAGCTGCAGTGGGGGACCAGAAACGACGAAGTATTTTGCGCTCAGCTGGACCGCCCCAGTAGGGTACTATTCGAAAGTCGGGCATGAATTTGGCGAATTCTTGAGTCCAATTGTGGAGAGTTGAGGCTGGAGTTACAATTAGGAACGGACCCCAGAGGTTATAGCGCTGGAAATAAGTACAAAACAAAATCAAATTAGATAATAATAGAAGAATATCGAGTTTCCCGATTCACTGAGTAAATCTAACTAAGAAAGAGGAGGAAAAATTGGGTTTCATGAAGCTATATACCCATCCTTACATCAGTAAAGGATGAATAAATTAGGAGATTTGTTAATTCGGGTCAAGTACCTCTAAAGTACAGACTTATAAAAACTATGAACTAAAGCGTATTCGATAAAAGCATGAGAAATTTAACCAAAATCAGGTAGTACTGATAATAGCTCACTTTAGTGACTTATAAGCTTAGCAACTAACAATTATTCAAATATTCTGCGACTACACTCGTAGTAATTAAATAAAAAACAATAAAGTTAGTATACCTCAGCCAGCGATCCCAAAAATGCGATAGTCTGAATTGTTTTTCCTAGACCCATTTCGTCTGCCAAGATGCCATTAATACCCTGGTCAAAAAGAGTGACCAACCAAGCCAATCCTTTGAGCTGATAACTTTTCAGCTCGCCGTTGAATAACGATGATGGTTTCGAGACATCCAATTCGGGTATTTCCATGGGTTTTTCGACTCCTGCACCAAACTCTGATTTCTAAAAGAGGTAAAGGGGAACAGTAAAGAACGAGTAGATCACAAGCTCAATTCAAACTAAGATGATTAAAAGCACTGAGTAATACTGAAAGACCAACACGAGGAAAGGTCGAACAATAGTAGACCAAAATAGAAACAAACACTCCCATGAACCTGACTTGCAGTAGGCATAGAGCACATTGGTTCCTATTGACATTTTGACACGAATTTCTTTCAATATGCCCTCTTTTAGACTGTTTCCACTTGCTCGACATTGACTCTAGTTCCACTACTTCTAAATCCCAATTTTTCTTCAAGCTTTTCCCCTGCTGCATTACGATTGCCCAACACACCTTTGAAGTAGCTCAACTTTTGGTCTAAGGATTTTGGCAAAGGCTGCTGTATCCTGTTAACCACAAAATTTGTACAGAATTCGCTCTAAGACTGGACTAGAATATTAAAATAGACTTAGCATAGCGGTCATAATATTGCATGCGCAGTGTACAGAGGGAGCAACAATTTCCATCAATACCCCTACATAGTATTCCCAAACAACTGTACATAAAATAGCAAGACTTGGTTTGGTGTTTTCTATGAATTTTTGTTCATAATATCTTCCACCCCTCAATTAGCCTTAGTTTACCAACTCTATCACATGATGAAATTGGCAAGTCAGCTGTAGTTTGGAGAAACAGAAGAAAAATAGACAGTCAGTACCACGCAATTCAGGTCAACTTACAGCTTGACTTTCCCTTTCGATTGCCTTCTGAACTCGAGATAGGGCTCTAGCTTTTAGCGCCTCAGTATCTAAACAAAGGGAAAAATAGCTAACAAAACAAAGGAAAGATAGCCTTTAGAGATGGTTTAACTGAGTTTCTTACCGAATTCATCTTCCATATTGACACCAAGCCTGCCAGCAGCTGCTTTAGCAGCTTCGGCTAAAGTTGGCTCGGGATTACCAGACTCTTCATCAGTAGCTATCGTAGTTACCTTTGGAGCGTCTTGAAGGCGTTCGAGGATGGATTCCACTCCAGTGTCAACCTGTTTCACAGTATCCGCATCCCCACCTGCTTTGTTCATAGTCTTTGCCATAAAGTGAGCATAGAGCTCAGTTTGAGTGAGAAGAAAGTTAAGTTTGCGTTGTTGGCGACGGGCTTCGAGTAACTCTAAGTCGGCCCGACGTTGCTCAGCCAAAGCTCGTTCAGCGCGACGCCTAGAGGCTGCAGCAGATTCAACTGGCTCTGTAGAGGCACCTCCGGCACCGCCTGTTCCACCCTTCGAGTTGGTGTCACGGCCACCGGTCAATTGAACGTGACTAGCAATCCCATCGTTTCGAGTTGACCAAAATAATGCGAAATCACGAAGTAATCTATTCACGCGATCTGTAAGAAAAGACGAAACAAGAAAGGAACATTATGGACTCTAAATGAAAAAGTACGAATTGATCTTTTTTGTCAAAAAAAACTGTTGCACTCCCTTCTCCCTAATTTGATTTTATAAAAGAACATTTATTAAAAACGTGAAAATCCTAAACGAGGTCGTGTTGATAAAAGCAATCGTCCAAGGACACCAAAGATAAGTATTAATTTATTTCGTGAAATTTAATTCCGAAATGTCCTAATTTCAATCGCATTTTCCTCCTATTAAAGATCAAGTAATAGAAAACACGTTTCACTGCATACACACCCAAATTGAAGATATGCTATTTCAATTTTTCTGTTTGTCCATATGTTTCGCCATAACCAAAATGTCTACTTTGAGACTTTTAACAAGCATCAGTGACCAAGAACATTCCCACTTCGTGTTCTAGAAAAAATAGATGAATGGTGAGTTTCTATTCACGTAAACAATTTCACAATCAAAGTAACACTTGATTCCAGTAGGTTTATGGAGCTTCACACCATTATATGCCATTTGAGTACAGACTATTATAAAAATATTTTGCAAAGCGATAACAAAAAAAATAATTAGGACTTACATCCAACATCCTTGGCGTTTTTCGGTAAATTCTTTTTCGCAAATACCTTACTGACATTAATTGCCACTTTCCTAGCCATATTAATTTTATCCCGCCGGATGGTGGCTCTCAACCTCGCAGCCTTGCCAATATGTTTTCGTATTAGTTTGCGATATTGACGCTCAGTTGGCGTCAATGATGAAGTCGCTATTGGCGTCTTGATCGTGGTCGTAGTGGTGACAACGGAGGCGGCAGCGGCTGTTCGTCGAATACTAGGACGGCCCGCTGCTACTCGGGCGCTGTAGACTTCCCTCTGTCGACGAACTAGACGCATCAAATCGTCATCCTCTTCTTCTTCATAGTCTAGCCCATCCTTGGAGGTGCTGCTCTTTGTTCCTCGCTCATCTTCCGTTTGGGACTTCTATAAAGGAAGCAAAAATAAGCTAAGAAACAGTAAATTCCAAACCGATAGCACATAAGTGAGGTCTAAAAGTGAAAATACTTTGAGTTAAACAAACTTTGAATACAATAGAGATAACCAATTGACTGCTACAAAAGTTCTAATAAAGTAAAAAGAAATCTGAGAGATAGTAAGACCACCGATTTTCTTTAATTCTACAATTCCTATGCTAACCACAAGTATGGAAGGCTATGCAAATCATAAGACTGTACCGCAAACAACTACTAAGTATTGGTTCAATTTAAGGACATCGTAAACGGTCTTTCTGACCATTAATTTGGAGTGTAACTGGTAGATGACTGACTGAATTAAGACCTTCTACGGATATACAAAACCACACCTGCTGAATTTCGTCGATCTCATATATCCATATAACAAACCTCAATTAGCTTCGCTTATGACCCAATTTTACTCATGTAAGGTATTTTCAATCTACTTCAGAAATCTTACTCCTGTAAGACCTTAAGGTTAGAAGGATAGAAAATCTACAAACCTGAACATCCTCCATTTCAGCAGTTGAGTCCGTATCGGGATCACACTCACCACGTATATGTTGTCGTAGCAACTCATCGAGAGAGAATCTACGAACATTGTCGATTATTCGATTACGCTCTTTCACGGAAATGCGTTTCATTTTTCTTTTAGCCTGTTGGCGAAATTCCTCCATTAGTTCAATTTGACTTTCCATGGCGGCTTTGTTATTAAAACTTGAAGAATCCGGAGGAATCGGATCTTTCTATAAAAAAGATGAATTCAACAAAAAAATGTAAATGAACAAAGTAGCACAAGTTTGAAGTTGCTTACTGCAAAAGTAGATCGGCTGGATGATCTTAACCCCCAAGCATTAGTAGCCAGAGTCTGAACTGCAATTAATGAATGTATAATTTTGTAAAACAGTTAACGACAAATAGGACAGTGTCATTAACAGCACGAAATGTTTTAAGCACATGAATTGAAATAACGACATAAAATATTGAGTACGGCGAAACAAGTTACCTAAAGGATCTCGAGTGAATCTAAGAGAATGTGGTAAATTCAGACGAGAACCGAGTTCCATTATTTCATCTATCAGCTCATTGGTATCGAAATAATTGTGATTATCATTATAAGTAAAACCTAAATTAGGACGACTATTCATGGCGGCTTTCTGAAAGATATAAGCCAGTAAATAGCATTAGGACAGGATAAACACACCATCTCACATATGCTTTTGGTCAGCCAATAAAATTGCAGTATTTTCATAATCATCAAGCAAGATAGTATAGACAAGAGAAAATTTTATATATTTTTTTAATGCAATTGAAAATGACAGATTTTATTTTCATTAAAACGAGATCTAAGTTATTTTGAAAAGTAGCAATATCGCATTGATGAGATTATAAATTGGAAATTTTGTATTGAGCTTTAATATGCTTAGTAAAATTAACAAATAGTATTCATAGTTGGTTTATTTATGATGCCCATTTTTTATCGATAATTTTCTGCATTGTCCTCCATACTAACTTTTTAAACTCTAGCTCAACCGAAATTCCAAAATACTAAGCAAATCAATGACAAATCTCTAGCTCAATATATTAATGTAATATTAGTACTTCAGAACCGTGTAAAATATAATTCAATTGATTTTATTTGGAGTTAATATTCATAAATTTTGCATCTAATTTCACATCCATTAGTCAAGAAATGAATATTGTTCAAGATTCTCTGATCTTGATTTAATTTTATTTAATTTTCAATTGTGATGCGTACGGTAGACTAACCTAGACGTAGTGCACCGGAGGTAACCCCTACACATATGGCAAAAATTTCAATAAATCAGCAGTTGCAACTAATTCCAAACTACCGTGACCCCATCGTATGTAATATTCGGCCAACTCTACTGTGAGCACTTGTCCCTTTTCATTAATTTTGTGTCTGTCTACTTGTTATATTTGTGAATCACTCTTCCGTCCCTCTACACCTCGATTGCTAGTGCTCTTGATTGTCTTCCCCTTCGTGAATCCCGAATTCAACAAATTTACTAATGATAAATATCGTAAAGCCTGTTGTTTGTTATAAATTAATCTTTCAATTGTGCTATTTCTGCCAGATATCTTGCTGTAATACGACACTTAGGAGGAATAAAAGATTTACGATCCTTTGATATTTTTGAAATCCATGAAACTCAGTAGACTTACGGCCTCAAGATCACTAATGAAGCTGAAATTATTCTGTGAATACCAAAGAATGCCTGCGTTTTCTAATTTTAATTGATTTTTATATACAGTTTTTCACTCGTATTTATTAATCATAAATCTCTATTATAATAAAATGGAGGATCACATCTGATCATGAAGGCAAAATGTATTTATTAATTGAATTTAAAGAGAAAGTTGTGTAAAATAGTGGGAATCGCAAAGTTAAAAGCCAGCAAGAAGTAGCTTTTAGTAATTCTTTATTTTTAATTAAAATGATGTTTATTTTTCAAAAAAATTAATTAAATTTCGAGCATTCACATTTAATGTAGTATTTTATTATACCTTCAGGGAAGGATTTTAGACGATATATATATTATTTATGCATTTTAGGTTAATTTCATTCAATTTAAACCAAAGAATTTTCATTTTACAGAATTCAGATTATTTGTTTATTTTAACTTTGGAAATCCAAGCATCTGCGATTTAGAGACCTTTGCGTAGATCGAGGGACCTTTTCTTTGATTAAATTCACCTGTTTTGTGAGGAAAATGATGCAAGCACTTGCCAAGAGCGCTTCCAGAGCCTCTCGTTTTTTTGTGGTATGGCTTTGATTATTTGCTTGGACAATTTACTTAGGCTCAACCCAAACGCTCTCTCAAAATCCACGAACACAGCGCTATGGACCTTCTTAAAAAGGCTGCCATCGCTGTCCCCAACTTCCGTTTAGCAACAAATATGGAAGAAGCAGCCAAAGCTGCTGATGAAATCGGTATATTAGGAAAATTTAATGAGTAGCTTGTTTAAGTATTTTTTTCGACTCAATTTTCATTCATTTTTAATAGCTAAAATCTCAAATTTGAACGATTTTGTCGTAAAGGCCCAAGTTCTGGCTGGTGGTAGAGGAAAGGGTACTTTTGATAGTGGACTTAAGGGTGGTGTAAAGATTACTTACAGGTAGTTTTATTGTACTATAATATCTATGCCTCTTATGCAGAAGTAGTGTTAAGCGTTTCTTTAATCTTATAGCAAACAGGAAGCCCTAGATGTTGCCAAACGGATGCTTGGACACCGAATTTACACTAAACAGACCGGTGAGGCTGGTACCATCTGCTCCGCAATTACTATCGTTGAACGAAAATACCTCCACCGTGAATTCTATTTCGCTATTGCTCTTGATCGTATAACCGCTGGTCCAATGATTATCGCAAGTTCCCAAGGTGGTATGAATATTGAGCAGGTTGCTGCAGAAACCCCTGAGGCTATTATCAAGGTATATATCAACATGTTTATGAAATCCCAATCACTCGAGAGTTTACTTTATATTTGATGCACCTTTTTATAGGTCCCAATTGATATTGAAGATGGTCTTACTATGGAAACTGGGAAATTGCTTGCATCTGACATGGGATTCAACACCCCAGAAAGCCAATTTGAGGCAGCCGAAATTTTCACAAAGCTGTATAAACTCTTCACAGAGACGGATGCTACGCTTGTGGAGATAAACCCCCTTGCCGAAGATAATACCGGAAAAGGTATATTTGGGTTTGTGTTTTGGTATGCTTTTCACCTATATGCATACCGGCTCCATAAATGCTTTTTCGCGACTTCGCTATTTTACCAACCATAACTTTTTGTTTTATATAGTCCTTTGCATGGACTGCAAGATGACATTTGATGATAATGCGGAAAAGAAGCAACCGGAAATATTTGCCCTTCGTGATTGGTCTCAGATGGATGAACGTGATGTTCGTGCCGCCGCAGCCGACCTCAATTACATTGGTTTGGATGGCAGTATTGGTTGTCTTGGTGAGTTACTGTAGTTCATAAGTGTGGTTTTTAAAACTTTATAACTGAACGATTCGCATAACTTTATTCCGAATCAGAAAAGCTTGAAAAATTGTGATAATTTGAAACTTTTCTCTTTAGCCTTAATGGACCATTTTGTTCTGATGCCATCTGAAGCCAGTTAATTGGGCTTTTAAAATCAACTTCGGGTAGTTGATTAATTCATGGAGTATGTGCTGTTCGCGTCGGTTTGGTCTTACTTTTCACCAGTTATGACCCACTAACTTTCGGTTTATGGGCTTTCATATTCCTTGTCGTGAATAATTTGACCTGGTAAGGTCATAACCGTTATATGGATCTTCGCTAAAGTCCTTTTTTTGACGCATTTATTTATTTCAAATGGCAGGCGTTTCTGTAGTTATCATTATCCTTTTAGTTGATTTTGGGCTTCACAGAGAGGATGAAAAATATCAAAGTAGCAAATGTCGAGCTGGTGGGGGGGGGGACAGAATAATGATTCACCGATGTAAAAGAGGCAGACAGACACAAAGGCAAGGTAAGGTGCGTGCTGTGGAAGGGTTCGAATATGACATATCGTGGGGTGATGGTAGTTTGAAGTCAAAGTCAACTTCGGGTTTATAGTTTTTTTGCCGAATGAGTATACGTTGCCCAGGGTGCACCAAGTTTTGGCGCATAGTTAAGGGAAAACATATATAGAAATGAAACTGAAATTCTTGTTAAGGAAGTTACTCCTTAAGTCATTTTTTTACCTTATGACTTTATACTCCCGTTTGAAATTGGGTGTGCCTTGACTGTTCTTTCTGATAGTGCATAAAGTAGAACTTTTACAATGTCCTTTTGAGTTAGTTCTTATGATAATTTTGCCTTTACAGTTTGCGTCGAGGCTGCATTAACATGTTTGACAGATGTTAATACTTTGTTTTCATTTAGTATATCGCAATTCATTTTTTAATCTATCTGAAGTAGTACATAAATCTTGCTGGGGTCGTATCTGTTGAGTTATTACTCGACATCTCAAGCTTTTTTGTTCGCCCTAATACAATTAATTGCTAAGTAAATTCGATTAAAGTAAGTGTACTTGATTTAAAGCTACGATATATGATTTCTGTTAGTCCAAATGTGTGAAGCGGAATTTGGGTATTGGTGTTATGAGCATCCGTATGTTTGGCACTCACTCGTGTCTTTTGTGTCTTCAAGACCATGCTTTAGTAAATTATGTTTCGATCTTTTGGTCACTATTTTCATGACAGAAATTTGATAATTTCTTTTGAATATCTATTGGGGCTTAATAGCAGATTGCCTAATTCATTTTTTAACTAATTGTCCCATTATGTTCTGCTTTGCATAGTTAATGGAGCCGGTTTAGCCATGGCAACCATGGACATCATCAAGCTTCACGGTGGTTCCCCAGCTAATTTCCTTGACGTAGGTGGTGCAGCCACTGCCGGCCAAGTCAATGAGGCTTTCCGCCTAATCACCTCTGACTCTAAAGTGCATGCCATTCTTGTCAACATCTTCGGTGGCATTATGCGATGTGATGTCATTGCTCAGGGCATAGTTGCTGCCGCCTCTGAGTTGAACATCAAGGTCCCGGTGGTTGTGCGTCTTCAAGGTAAATGCTAGATAATGCACTGCATTTGTTCATTTAAAGCTGATATTATTATAGCTAGGGAGTACATTTCAACCTGCCAGGAGAGCGGAGATGTGGGAATTTGATTGCTTCTATTTATAAGTTAGAATTTATAGTGAGTAAATTTGTGGTGATCGATGGTTTCGCAGAGAAAAATAATTTTATACACATCCAATACAAAATCCGCGTAGTTAGCATCTGTAACTACGGTTCTCATTCTTTCGACTTCGCAATATTATTAAATAATAATTAAGGCTATAAAAATATTACAAGTATTTTTAAAAAAATATTAAATTATGTCATTATGGCTAGCCAGACATTGCGGATCTTGCTTATCGCTTTTAAATAAGCTCGGTAGTGATTGAATCCATAAGGACGTATTTAAGCCGATTTAAAGGTTGAATTGTGCATGTTTGTTGTTGAGATTTAGTACGAATCAAGTTGTCAACATAGGCAAGAACAATTAATTAATTAATTATTAATATTGTCGGTTTCCTCTATAGAGATAGACATAGTCTTTCTACATTAAAGGGACACGTTCTCTATGCCTTTTCTGAATGCTCTTGATAGCGGTAGGAAGTAATTAATTTGAAGAAAATGTTATTCTGTTCTTCATAGTCTTCACTTGGAAAACTTTATAATCCATAAGCCGAACTCCCATTCAGGGAAGTGAGACACGTTTTTGTTGGTCTCGCGTAAACTTAAGTTCAATTCAAAGTATGCACCTATTATATGCCTATTCGAAATGGCTCATTGGAGCAGGTTAAGCTATAAGCGTTTTCAGCAGTGGCAGAAAGCTAACATAAATCCTAATATTACTTTCAAGGGTTAATATTTACCATTTTTTCATAAATAAATTTTTATTTTGAAAAGAACTAAACTCTATCCATTATTTTCAGGTACTCGAGTGGATGACGCTAAGGCCATTATCGAGAGCAGTGGATTGAAGATTCTCGCCTGTGACGACCTTGATGATGCTGCAAATATGGTATGCCAGAAGTATTTTATTGTTAGCTTGTGTGGGGTATTAGGGTACTACGCCCATTTGACATCACAATCATTGATTTAGTTCATTCACTACTCCTCATAATCAGGTGTAGCCTGTCTCGTAGCCCTCGTTAGTTGAATTTCTATTAATGAATGTATTGTTCCTCCTTTCACTTCATAATCCACTTTGAAAATGTCTAGAGTTAACTTCTTTCTCATTTGCGTTTGATAAATCAGACTAAGGCCTATTTACTAATATAGTCAACGAGCAAATGTTAACCCATTGCGCATCCCCTTCATGGAGCCCTCCTTATTTAAGTCTAAATAGTTTGCAGTATTTTCTGCAGCCCCTTAATGAGAGCTACTTTCACGAATAAATTATGGCCAACCGGATCATATAATGGAATCAGGACGTCACAGCCTTCCCCTGCGTTCCACAAATTATTTCCCTTTAAAGTATCTGTTAGTGTATTGTAATCGGATAGCAGGAATTAGTGCTCTAGTTAGTTTGGCTAAGAGTTCCGTTTTTAGTGTGAAAGATTTTTGTCGTCCAAGGATATTTTAAGCGTCGTCATCGCATTTCCTCTCAGTATTTCTAGCGATGGTCTTCGCCCAGTATGGACCTTGTAATAAGACAGGTTCACAAGATTGGATAGTAGTTTGAAAATCAGCTTCACTCCGTCCTTTTTAAAATTTGATAACGATTGAAAGTACAAACCCAGGCTGTATGTTACTTTCATACCTAACGGAAATCTATTTGTATGGGCCTCTTTATTTACATACTTTTTCCTGGTTTCAGGTTGTAAAACTGGCTGATATTGTAGCTTTGGCCCGCCAAGCCGCTGTCGACGTTAAGTTTGAACTTTCAGAATAAATATTGCAAGGGTGATGAAGTTGACGTAAACGGGAATGGCGAAAGGCGATGGCCCCCCCCCTTCCCCATTAGCAATTTTTCTTACCCCACCCTTGCAAGCACACTAAGCTTACGTTTCAAACGTTATATCACCTCATCCTGCTCCTCTTTCCCTTTTTCTCCGTCTGACTATGTTTCGCCTTTTTCCTCGATGTCCTCACTCTAATATTGGTATTTAGTATATACATGTGTAGATAAGATGTTTGCTACGTTTGGGATTAGGCCATCTGTATTACCATGACCTCACCAAGTTCAAATTGAGGGAATAAAGCACATACGCAAATTGCCCGAGATCAAGAGGTAAAGTAGTGCTTTTCCCCATTTTTACAGGACTGTTGGTTTGTACATGATGGCAGAATGTTCCTTAAATGTATAAGGCAGCCCAAGCTAAGATGTAGCCATTTCGACCCAACTTGGTGTCTTGTAAAAGAAGACATTATCAGTGCTCTAAGTTGGAGGGTATTCGGGGAGTGGCAAATAGCTTAAGGCTTACCGATTAAATGTACGCGAGTATCTTGCACTTCGACTATATCGTAATTTTTTTATCAGCTTGTTGGAAGTAAAATTTGCGCCATTTTGAAACACCCAGATATGAAAATTAATTAGTACCCTAAACTTCTTAATTAATTCTCTTCCCAGTGAAAACCCCCACTATTCTCAAATGAGTTGATTTCCAATTTATTACACCACACTGTGCATAAATCTGATCATGGTAGTCCCACTAACTAAATTTAGTATGATTTTGCATCATAGATAACCGATAGGACTCGGTGCGACCTTGGTATGACTCAGCTCGAGATCATGTTGATAAGTTTTACCAGCATACGATAACCAATACGATCCAATAACCGAAAATTTCATTTGACCAGAACTTGGCAGAGCCAAGTGCAAATTCAGTTTATTCAAGTTATTACGAGGCAAATTGACAACACCAGATAAACCACGAAGCTCATTTAAAACTAACCAAAAGTGGAATATTTAGCAGGCAAGTGAACAACCACGATCCGAACTTTATCGCCTAGTAACACGCCCAATGAAAGAAGCATCATCAATCTTTTAATCAAAATTCACAGCAATGCATCACGTGAACTAGCTACCCCACAAAACACCTGCAGACCTTGCCATTCCACTCCGAGTAGTAATTACCGTGCCGAGGATAAAACCGCGTTAATAACTCCAGGCGAAAACGCACATTGAATAAATCCGCCTCAAATCAGTAACACAAAAAAATTGTCAGAGTCCCACAATTATTATCACAGGAGTAAACCACGATAATTCAACTCAACCTTGACCAGTTTTCAAATAATTCTTGGCTAATCATAAATCTCCATCGACTCAACCTGCATTTACAAATGTCCCCATCAATAATTAGGGTGGTTTTTGCTACATGAAATACCTTAGGCTATAACAAGTTAACAGTGCTGTAAGTATAATTAACACAATGCAACCTCAGATTGGGTTGAGCAAACGATTCGATTATTGAATTGGCCCACATCCAGATTGCTGATGAGGAATTTGTTATTGCGCAACCTACATACACATAAGCAATAGTACCACCCTTAATACCTACCCCGAAATGCAAAACGCCCCAAACCTAAGTGTCAACAGGTGTAGACAACAAACGCGAACCTATGACGTAGACGTAATTCTCAATGATATATAATAGAAGAGATACCATTCATCATAATCTTCGGATCGTTGAACCAAGATCACTATAATAGCGCATCACAAATATCTTCAAAATGGCATAAAAACTTATCACTGTCAGATAAAAAGCACCAGTCATCAAAAATAAGAAGGCAGATTTTGAGAATATATTTAACACTTGGCACATTAGCAATGATCAAAGACCACCAATTAAACCCACTTAAGCCTAAGAGACCAAAACTACCTGTGCTAAACATACCGTTAAATAAAGATGGCACACAGTCCAAGTACCAAACCCGGCAGGAATGTTACCTGACAAACAAAAATAAATAATCAAATATAATTTTAGCAAAATATATTAACAAATGCGTATGCGCATGTACCTTTCAGCAAAATGCAGTTCAAAATGAAGGGTTCACAGAGGGTCCAATATATACACAGGTTTTGGGTCAATGAAGAATTCCATATGCAGTGGCTTTTGGTAGCATAACATATTGCGTCAAACTTACGCTACTTCACGCAATATAACGATTATTCCAGTTCGTCTTGAAAGTATATCGGGTGAGAAGTAAATGATATCTAAAGGGGAAGGTAAGCAAGCTAATGGAGACTGGTAAGTACCGGATCCAAAATATTGTCCACATATGGCTCGCTTTCAATATCAAATATCGTGTCAGGTGACAAAGACGACAAGCTTGGGACTGATGCCAAACGAGGATCCTCATATGACGGAATGGAGGCCTTCGCAACTTCCTCTAAATGAGCACACCTAAGCAGAAATAAACTTAAAAATAGATCAACTTACTTTTCCCTGAGCGTCACTAATTCTTTCTCCTTTAGGCGGTACAAGGTTCTATAAAATTCGACATCTTTCCGAAGGGAAATGACCTCCGACTTAAGGGTTAGTAATTCTTTTTTCTTGGCCTCGCGATATTGGCGAGCAGTGAGAGCGGCCACTGACTTATGCTTACTAGAAACAAGCGTAGGTTAAACCTATCTAAATGGTTAAAAAAAGAAAGCTCAACATACCGACAGGAAACCGTACTCATGACGAAAATATATTGCACGCGCTCGAAGACGCAGAACAATACAAAGAAATAACGCTTTTCAGTAGCTGAGTAGAGAAATGAATAGCGATTTTGAGGTTTTATATAACGAAATATAAAAATATTTCTTTAATATCGCCTTTATTTTTTGTTAATAAAATTTAAATCTTATTATATTAAACATCTTAAATATTTTAAAATATTTGATATTAATTCAGTGATAATTTTTTACCCATTCTTGCTCTTCTTTTGTAATACTTTTATGTTTTGATATTTTATTTTTATTGCCAAGGCATTAGCAAACGGGCAACCATTTAAGTTCAAGGTGATTTGTGTATTAGGTATGGTAAATTTTGTTTTTTAGTTTTAACAGTTACCTATTTCATGATTTATTTTGAATACATTGTGGTTTTATTTCTACTTTGACTAATTGTATTTTTATTATGAATAATCTGATATTATTATTAGCCAATGCCTTCGAATTACATAATCGCTACTTTATAACTTATAACTCTGATTTCTTATTTATAAACATTTCCCCTCAATTATTTTATAATTGATCGCATCATACATAAGATATCATCTATCTCTTAGTAGACTCCTCATTTTTTATTTTCTTCTTTGAGAAGTGAATAATTGAATTAATTGTGTTTATCTTTGCTTTGCATAGTTAAGTCTTAGATTATTTCCTATGTCACGATAAAAATATCTACCTACTGAAGAGGCGTCTTTTGAATTTACTCGTCTTCCTACTTTATATGACATCATCAGGTCCTTGATTGTACATTAACGGTCTAAAATTCTATGAAATTATAAGTCTAAAAGCTCCTAAGATTTTTTTGTTACGCTTGCCAAATACGCTCTTTTACTCTATAGAATCTTATATTCAACGCCTAAGTTAATTTTTGAAACGCCCAAGAACATGATTAATTAATTTTATTCAAAATTATTTGAATTTAATATGTTTTTATATATTCGTTTATTTATGGTTCTAGTTAATTATGGATGAAATTACCGAAGAGGAAGAGTTTGACATTTCTCCTCGAATGTTTGTTAATAATTTGGACACTTTTCTTAGTGGCTCATTGGCTCAGGTATTTAAGAAAATATTTGGCATAATTTTGTGCTAAGCATTTAGCAACATGCAAACCTGGACTTGCCCTGAGTGAAGATGAAATGGAGGAGGAAGAAAATGAAGTGGCAAATCTTGTTGAGCAAGAATCACCTGGAACAACTAATCTTACTGGATATCGTGTGGTTGGGACTCTTTCCAGTCCGAACGTTTTAAACCCACCAAATTATGTTGAAGCCACATTAAAAGTAAATTTTTCTATTGCTTTTAGTTTATATGTACCAATCATTGAGAATAATTGTACCTTACAGTTCACAATTCATAAACAATCTTCCTGATTTATTTCTTTACCATTTACCAAGCGTTATAAAAATAAATAAGGATCGAACTTTCCAGTTGCACCATTATCTTGCACATAATATAACTATGGCACTCTTATTTCTTCATTAGCTCTAGCCTCAGATTTAATAATAATTTCCGCAATTTTAGTGATTTCTACTAAAAAATTGTTAAGACGTTTTTTTTCATTTTTTTACTTTGAGCTGGTAAATTTTTTCGGTTTTGGCTTACGTAACTCGATTCTCTCATAGAGCGGCCCCATACGCCGCCTTAGGCGTTTAGCTTCCAGTAATAATCTACTACTAAAAATCACTGGTACCGATTCCTTGAAATGCGTCATTGGGCTGCTTCTAATTTTCGAAATTCGTCTAATTGTTAGGAATCATCGATATATTTTGAATGATGCTGCAAATTGTTTAGATTACGAAAAATCCTCCAATTTAAATGACGAGGAAAGAAAAAGGGACAAATAGAAGGAAAATTCACCCTAGAAGCCACAGAACTCCATTGGGCTCACCCCAAGGGCATTTTCCTGAATTCCTCAATTATTTATATCAATACCCGTATACTAATACAGTTTCTATAACAATTTTGGCAAAAGGATGCTTAGCTCTAGCAGAAATGTCGTAGGATTTGTGATAACTTCTGTTTTCAGTGGCAAGACCACATTCTGCCATTTTAAATGATTTCTTAAATCCAATGTCTGTATTATTAATGATATTCTGATATACCTTCAATTAAACTATCCTTGTCTGTGTTATAAAACTTAAAATTTAGCACCAGAAGTAGTTATCTATTGAGTCTGAGAAATGTCAATCCTTTGTAATTAATATTTAAATGAAATTACCGTGGATTCAGCTTGCATCTAGACAACAATTCATTTTTATAAAATTTGCTCAACACTTGAACTATACATAGAATATGGTCCGTCACCATTCCTAACACGCATGCTTGGAGATATGTTTTACGAGACTTGAGCCCTTGCAATTTTGACAGTACAATCAGCATACCATAAATTAACCGAACGAATGCATATTTGTTATGTATTATGGCTAAAATTCATATTTATATAGTGGAATCAAATATTGAAGCTTAACAAGGCGGGGGGGGGGGGGTCACAAAACTTGAGTTGGTAGAGTGAAACCCGCATTTTACCACTTCTCCAGCTATCTCAGAACTAATAAGGATCGATTTTACGTCCTCCGACTTGTTAGACGTGCACGTTGACCACTACGCCGCTATATCACGAATTTCAAGTACTAATAAACGTCAATTTCGGGTGATTTATTTTGCTTCTTTTCATTTATTCCATCTTAACCATTCTAGTGACTCAATAATTTTAGTTATTGCCTTCAATCTTAGAATTACATCTTTTGTTTGGGCTACTGATAAGGAAAAAATTGCTGTTGTCTCATACTTAAGCCAAAGATTCTTTGAGTAGCTGAAAGATGGTCAAATCGGTCTTTCCTCTTTATTGATTTGATTATTGATTATGAGACAAAAGGTGCATGAACTTTATTCATTCTTATCAAAACAGTTATCCCAAGAAATCTTTCATGCGATTCCCAGTACTCAATTTCTTTCCTAATATATGATCAATAGTATGAAGATCGGCGAGACTTCTACGAGCATATTTTCGAATGTGACTGCATAATCTACAACATCACTGACGACCCAAGTCAGACTGAGGAGGCCCTATGGGTGGCTACCTCTTTAGCAAACGACCTTGGGAGAATTAAAAGAAGGAAAACCTTCATATTAGTGACTCACCTCCTAAGTTGGGTGCGCTCCAAATTTGACCACTCGGTGAGAATCTAAATTAATTTACACTTCACTAAAAACTTCATACCATTACTTTACCCCAATTGGCCATTTTGCTTCAAAATACTTATGAAAAAATGTTCATTTTTAGGTGAGCAAACATCCAACATTTGAAGAGGAGGAACACGCCAAACGAAAGCCTCACCCTCTTTACAGAAGACAGTTTGAGGCGGAACAAGCCATTTACAATCTGGGCAAAAAGGTATGATTGGAGGATTTCCTATTTAATGATCAGATGTGGGTATTTTTAGAGACTTTATTTATTTTGCCAAATCTTTTTTACCTAAGTCAGACGTTGCATACAGGTGTTTCGTAGTATGGTTAATGAAATAAAGAATAACACCCGGCATATTCCAATTCTCCATTATTATATTGCTAGTCATGCTAAAACAACAGTTAATCAAAGGCTCTGAAATTCAAATTTGATCATGATAAAGCCCCTACTAATATAAGTACGGCTATGCAAGACATGATGGCACCCTATAAGAGTTATAAGATTGCCCGTCAAGATAGCACGAAAGCCCACTAATCAATAGTTCTATGGACAGAGAGAGAGAGAGAGAGAGGATTTCATTACTATCGGAAATTATTTAAACAATTATTTTAAAAATAAAGGGAGGAACACTTAGTTTAAACAAACACTACAATTGAATAATTTATATAGTTAGGTATTTATTTCAAATGGCAGACGCTTTGATAGTTATCATTAGCTGACTTAGGGCTTGATAGAGAGGAGGAGAAACATCAAAGTGACAAAAAGAGAAGAGGAGGACAGAATAATGATTCACAGATTTAAAGGCAGAGAACAGATAAGCCAAGTACTGTGGAAGGGGTCGAATATGACATGCAGTCGGGCCATGGTACTTTGAAGTCAGAAGTCAACTGCCGATTTATAGACTTTTTTGATGTCAACTGCCGATTTATAGACTTTTTTGCCGTATGAGCATACGTTGCTCAGGGTGCATCACGTGGAGGTAAGTGTATCGCACACCCCAAAATTGAATAATTTTCCCTTAAAATCGATGCAACATTCAATAACATTTGTTTATGTTTATTGAAAGCCGATTAGATATTTCGTCTCCAACACACTTCAAAAACTGCTATTAGGCAGAATTTTAGATAGTCAACAACTAAATCGCCTCTTTCAGTTTACCCCTACGATTTGCAAGCTTAAATAACTGCCACCTCGATCTCTTCTATGACTCAAATAACATCACGTTCAGTTGAATGTAAAATATAACCGACTTAGACTAATAATAATATCTAAGTAGGCGACGGTGTTATCGTATGCAGCGCTGCTATAATGAACTTAAATAAGTAGCAATGTGATCATTTAGAGACACTTTCTGTTCACTTAAAGAGCGTACTGACTATTAGATAAATGATTGTTTGAAAAGCGGATTAAAAGACATAGAGTAGGCCAAAATGCGAAGGGAAAAGATCATCTTGTTAACATGACCACAACCTTACACCTCAAGCGAACAGGATGATACTAAGTGCATGCTCTGCTCTAGCCAATGGTCGATCTGACCTCCCAAGGTCAGTTTCCCTTCTGGTCCAAATGCACCAATGTTATTTGTTTGCTCACGTGTGCACTTCCATATTGCTAACTTGTGTCGTTCGGCGGGATGAGGATTTTGAGTAAATTGGCTGTCTATCAGTACCATACTTCCCCCCAATTTCGAATTGTATTAACTTAATGTAACCAATAGAACGTTTGTTAATATGTAGGGCATTTCAAAGTCTTTCCATACATACTGCATTATGCTGGAAGGACCTCACATCCTACTGAAAAATGGTTACCATGGAAAAAAATAATTACTTTTTAAAAGCATGGCAGCAACACCCTTCAGAATGATTGTGGAGTGTATTAAAATGAAACAGTCTATTTATAAACTCAAAATTTGTAGCCTATGAAGTAGGAGAGCTTTCAAAAACCTCTGTGCATATTCGAAAGTAATAGGATGCTGATCCATATTGTCTTTGATCCTTACGTTGGTGATATTAATTCTGTAGCTATTAAAAAAACAAACAAAGAGAATAAGACCAAAAACGGAAACGTAATAAATTTAATTGAAATAATGTCATTTTACTCTAATAAAATTGTAAACAAACATGCTTTCCTTATTTACTAGCATAAGAGAAAACTTGCTATATATGTTATCGCCAGTGGAATTCCTTATGGTGGGCGAGAAGACATATTTGAACAATTTTTCCTTGTAAGCAACTACCTTTGTATAATATTAATGTTCTTTCCAAAGCGTCTTCATAAAGAGTTTTTGAATAATTTGAAAATTTTATAATAATAAAATTACCCAATTTTTGCAGCACTAATATGCCGTAAGAAATTGAAATAATCTTGAAACAAAAGACTCAATTTTACATTTAGAAAGCCTGGATGAACAGTCGCGATTTAGAAGTTTACGGAAACGGAAATAACATAGTACCCACAATTCACTTCAAGGATCTGGCTAGGAATGTTTTAATATTAAGCTAAATAAGCAATAAAAAATTCCAAAAAATAAAAACATATAATAATGAGACTGAATAATGAAGTTCAATCTCTTGTTTTAGAATTGTGCAAGCAGTGTTTGAAAATCACCCAAGATCACGGTATGTGGTGGCCAAGGACCGCAGTGAAACGTCATTGGGATCAATAATTGAAGTAAATTGGCATCTTTTTTGAATAAATTTACCGAAAAAGTTGTGAAATCAAATTAATTTTAGTGGTTAGTGGGCAAAATAACATGAAATTTTCAAATCAGTTTTGGAAATAATGCTGCAAAAGATTATCCTGTGCAGTGCATCTATTGTTTTAGGTGCTCCAGGTTGCATAGGAATCGATGTTATGCTTTCTGTACTACCATATATCATGCTATGATCTAATTTATAATTTTAATCACAATTTTTTTCAAATCATTAGTCAATTTCTAGGAAATTCAGCACTGGGGAGGTTCGCAATCTTAACGAATTTGATCTGTTGCGTCTCAGAGATGTTTCTGTGAGTTTGACATTTTAGTTAGATGTTTTAAAGACAGCTATTACTTTAGCCTGTCTCATTTTCTACCAGAAAGTTCAAGTTGACCAACTTATGATGGACATTGTCATCAATACGCCAACACTTGACGAAGATCTTCAAATTCCATGGCAATGTGAAGATGGAATAATAGCAAATATTGATAGATTGGCCAAAGAATACCTCGAAGCAAAAAATATTAAGGTAATCCTATTCACGCATGCCTTTTTTTAGTCTAAAATAGCTGTAATTAATTAAAATGTGAATTTCACTTTGACAGCCTCTTCGAATTCTTATTATTGGAGCTCCTTTTGCCGGGAAATCAACAATTGCTATGGCTTTGGCACGTCATTATGGACTCCACTATATCCACATTACACCTGTTCTTATGGAGGCATATCTTCGACTTGTAAGTTGAGGGATTTTAAATTAAACTTGTGAGCTGGTATGCCCCTACTACTTACTTATTTCTGCGATATTAAAAAAAGAAAGCTTAAATAATTCATTGTTTGGAACTAGAGTACTTCTAGAAGTATGTTCATGTGTTGTATTGAATAAGGAATTTTCGAGGAAAGAAAGACTACATACAAATTATTGATTATCTTTACTTTAAGAGTGTAACATTTTATTTAATTCTTTCTTTTCCATAAAAAAATTAAATTGAATAGTTGAACTGTTTGTCCATACTTTTGAGTAAACATATGCAATCCTCAGTATGTCTGAGGTTACTGAGTAGCATTCTGTATAGCTCCAAGATCATCAAAGTGTACCTTCTCTTCTCCAAACAACTGCTACTTTGTCTGCATATTCCTGGATGTTTAGCTGGAATTAGGCTTTTTGGAGACGTGGTTCAGTAAAGGTACTAATTACTTTAAAATTTCACAAGTGCTTCAAATGCCCTAACGCTGACATTCTGATAAATAAAAATTCGGAAAAAATCAACATAAAAGCTGTTTCGAATGATATTTGTGGTCTGTGAGATTTCTGCTATGTGGAATTACGTGACAGAGTTTTTAATTTTTGTTCATATCAAATGGCAGGCTTTATGATAGTTATCATTAGCCCTTTAGTTGACTTCAGGCTTCACAGAGGGAGAGGAACATCTAAGTGAAAAAAGTCGAGAGGTGGGGGGG